ATGATAAGTGTTGATCGAATGCTGGGTTTGGTCAACTAAATTAGGAAAACACGAGGTTTATTATGGCTATCCTAATAAATCCGAAGGTTAAATGCTTGAATTGAAAGACTGCTGATTTTTACCTATGATCGATGACCAATTGACTCAATTCGAACCCTTGGATCAGAGTTGGTAAGACTGAATATTCCTTGTTAGTTGTTATTTACTCTTTTATTATTTTAGAATTTTGATTATTCAAATTTCCCACTCTTTATATTGCGCATTTGGCTGAGAAATTAATTACTGGCTCCCTGTGGGATTCGACTTGGTACCATTGTTACTACAAGTTTATAGTAAGGTGGGACTAGAATTAATTTTGAGGGCTTCGACAACCCGTCAGAAGGACAAAGTCTTCCATTGAATGGCTGGTTTACAAACCTGGGTTCAGACGGAACTCAGGAGAGGATTTAGCCTCCTGGTGGACTACAAGTTGAAGAGTTCATAATGGGGCCCCTGTGTAAGGCAGACTTCTACTGAAAGCTTTCGAATCAACTCAACTATACTACTTGACTCCCATTAGGCGATCGGTAGTGAGCGATCATAGGCCGACCCTCTTGCTTGGGTCAAGAAATTTCGTATGAAATAAGAGAGATTTCCGCGAGTTCGAGTTCGGTCATACGGGATTCCTGCGCTTAACCGACCTTCTCCAGCAAGCGTATGAAGAGCACGTGGAGCACTTACGAGCTGTCTTCCAGATATTACGCGACAACCAGCTTTATGTCAAGAAGGAGAAGTGCTCTTTTGCTCAACAAGAAGTCTTGTTCCTTGGACATCGGATCAAGGGAGGGACCAAATCCTGATTTCATTTTGCTTCTCCCGGTTGCCGAGCCTGATCAACACGACTCTTTTCCCTGCCCCCCGGCCTCCCATTGGCTAACGTACGTTCAGGGATCTGCCAGTCAACTACCTTCTCCTCTAATGAGGTTTTCAGTACCACGAGTCTGTCAGTCGTTGTGTGGGTAGACTCGATTTCTTCCGATTTTAAGCAATCCGTCTTTCTCATGTTTCACCAATATGGATTACCTATCTTTCGGTTTCCTCCCTGCCCCTGCTTCTAAGCGAGCGAAGCCCTCGCCTATTCATTGGATTAAGAAAAAGGGGAAGTTAAGACGGGGGTTACTTATAGCTAATGGGAGGTGTTGATAGATGTTGTTGTACACATGTTTAGTACCGCAAGGGTACTTTTGTAATTTCTTCATACTTTATGTTGTACGACCAGCCTAGTATAAATAATAACATACTGCACACGCCTGTTGTGTGCTTTTGGGCTCTCAGTCCTCTCGCCTCTCCTCTCTTTCTCTCCTCTCTTTTCTCTTCTCTTCTCTTGCTCAACATGGTATTAGAGCAAGTCGTCCAAGCCTGAAGGGTGATGTCAAGCTAATCTGATTTGTTCATCCTCCAATGTCGAGCAGTCAGTCTCTTCATCTCCCAGC